GAAGTTGTGCAAACTGCCTTACACTGCAGACCCCTGTTCTCTCCAAAACAAAAGCGTTAGGACAGAACTACCTCAAAGGGATTGCTTACAGCACCAACCCTTCAAAGACTTGGTAAGTGGCATTGCTTGTTGTTAGTTCAGCAGTCTGTGCTGGGCCTGCATTCTTGACCTCCTGTGGCTGTCCTTTCTCTGCCAGAAACAGCATGAAGATAGTGTTTCCAAAGGAACGCTTGCTTTCCCTTAAGACATGTGAAGTTGGGCCTTGATATTCCTTCTCCATGTGGTTGGGTGTAACCCTGAATGGTGCAGGCATTGCTAGCTTCCCAGTTCTTGAGGCAGCTGAAGCAGGGCTGAGAGCTTGGCTGACAGGGGCTTTTTGTCTCCAGAATTAAACTCTTGAAGGAAATGGATGCCTTACCTCATCTCATAATAGATGAATCAATTTTTCCCTGTAGGTGCAGGGAAAAAAAAAAAAAGCCAATGTGGTTGTAAGGTTTTTAAACAGTCACTGTCTAGCATAACTTCTGTGGGGCAGACTTATGTTTATGGTAAAGGTTCATGTCCTAGAAGGCTTTTTAAGCCATCAAGAGGGCTGGAAGGCACTTGGGCTGCTGCAGTTACAGCCTGCTGATCAAGAGCTTCTGCTCCATGTTCGTTCCTGTAAGGCTGTTAGCCCGTCTATATGCAAGTAACTGTAATGCTATGAATTATTTCTTGTGGAAACTTTAGCTGTTGTGCTTAGTGGGTTTACAGGAGCTTTTTGAGTTTGCTTTTAATGTGTTTGTGTTGGTGGGGATACTGAGTGGAATGACATGCCCAGGCTTTCAGGTAACTGCTGTAAATACACAGATCTACTCTAGTCTCTTACTTCACAGTAGCAGCTGCTGCAGTGTTACAGAAACTTCATAGCTTTGACTGCATCTTATTAGTTCAGCACACTATTAATATCCCAGCAGTTTTTGTATTAATTTCCACACTTAATATTGGTTCTCCTTCCTTCTTCCCTGTCCCCCTCTTCACACTCAGTGATTAAATTAAGTTCATCTTCAGGCTTTTTCGTTTAAGATGTCCGTGCTACCCACATCAGAGAGGGGCTTCGGACTGGAAGCAGAACAATTGTGCTAACAGTCACCAGGTATATTTAGTGGCAGTGTCATCTGACATGCATTTATTGCTCAGAACTAGCATCTTTTTGCTTCCATATGGAGTATCTGTAATGCTGGCAAAATCTTTCCAGAGACACAGCTGCTGATTGGCTCCTCTCATCTATTTGGGGAAGAATCTGTCCTTAAATACTTAGTTATTCTGCTTGCTAAAAATGGCATCAAGCACTTGGCACTATCGGAACGGACTTGAAACTTCACTGAGGTGCATTGGCTGTGTTTCACCAAGGCCTGGTGAATCGTTGTCTTCCCCAAAGAAATGACTGCACATGTACCAGCAGAACAAGTGCTGGGTGTAGCCACATGTAGGTACATCTCAGGCAAGTCACTGCATGGGACTCTAAAATGCAAATTACGGCCTTCCTCTCAAGGTTTTAAACATCACATTATTATGGTTAGGTGGCTCTGTGAAAAGGCGATGGGACCAAGGTACATCTCAGCTGCTGTTTGTTCGTAATGTAAAGAAGCCTGTCCCAAATGGCAGCAGTGCCTCTGCTTTGAGGTGCTGGATCTCAATAAGGTGGAGAATAAAGGTTGTTTTTTGAGTAGAGATTGAGACCCAACTCACCTCTGATAATAACCAGAAACAGGGAAGGAAGAAAGTCTCCATCAAACATGTGACATGACTTACCCAGTCCTCAGGTGAGTAAACTGTCTGTGACAGCTAACTCTTGAGTGAGGCACAGATCCTAGGCTGAGCAGCTCACCAAGGAGAATAAAAGTATTCTAGGTCTTTGGTTGAGGGTAAGCACTTGCCAATTGTTGTCATAGCTCACAAAGTCAGAAAACAATGACATCAGGCAGCTGGCAGAGTAGTGACGAACTGGTTTTACCCCAGAGCCCATGGGGGTTTCTCACCTCTCTGTGACACCTCACACAACTGAGAGCAGTGAGGGCATTCATGGGGTATCACCTTGAAACAGGCTGGCTTAGGGCATCCTGAGGGTCTAGGACACTGAAATACCTTCCTGCCCAAGATAGTTTGAATTAGTTGATCTGCCTGGCATGCTTCCAGCCTTCAAGGAGAAGTGGGGAGGCCTGGCTACTGGTTAGCAGGCTGGACTGGGCAATAGGAAGTTATTAATAGCTGCTCTGCCATGGAAAGAATGAGTTTGGCTTAGTTGAGATGCAAAGCTAGTAGCTGGTACAGCGAGCAAATGCTGGAAGTCTTACTTGTTAACATTTGAATGAGCAAGTTATGCTCTATGGAGAGCTTTGAGCCTCATGGCCTGAGGTCTTTGTCCTTTGAATCTGAGCTGTGTGGTCAGGCTGTACAAGGGCAGGTCTGAAAAGAGGCTGTCAGCTCTTGGTGAGCCTCAGGATATGGTGGGTGTTTCTTCTGTTCCTCAGCAAGTTTAGTTTCCCTCAAGTTAGTGTATGTTCAGTTCTCATCTGTAGGAGTCAGCTCTGGCTCTGAAGCAACTTGATTTAAAGACAGAAAGAAAGATGCTTTTCCCCATGTGCTAAAGTTTTAGTAAAGGAAGATTATGTAAAAAATATAACCAAATATAATAAATAAACCCAAACATGACCAGAACAAGGGACGGAGGAGATTTGGAGAAGTAAACGAATAAAAATTCCCCTCTTGAGTGGAATGGCAATGAGGAACTCCGTACAGAGGATAAATCCTGGATCAAAGGTTACAGTAAAGCACACAAGTTTAATAGATCAGCTTTTCCAAGAGTCATGCATATCAGTGCAGTGTGAATGTGTTTTATCTTCTATGAATTTGCTTAACTCTCTGAAAGAATATTAAAACTTAACACCCTTCAGGGTCTGGAAAAGCTACTCTTTCCCAACTGAAATGGGAGTCCAGCTTTCAAATTGCTTTGGACATGGTTTGCATGTAACTTCATTTGGAATATGATGAGGACTCTGTCCAGATAAAAATCCACCTCCACAAGACAGCCTCTTGCCTGGCTCTGGGGACAGCTGAAGTCAGGTGGAGGTTCCTGGTGTGTGTAGCTATGGCATGTCCTGATCTTCTGGGATGGGACCAGCTCCCACTGGGAGAAGGTGACATAGGATTTCACAGAAGGTGCTTGATGAGTTGTCTTGGTCATAAACTATACCAATAGATTCTCTCCTTTAAAAGGCTTTTGGCCGAACTATTATCAGAGGTGCTCCAATGTTTCAGTTGCAGTATCTGTTGGGTTTGTTCTTGCGTCCCTTTGACTGGAGTTTGCCTTTTATTTTTATTTATTTTCTCCTTTTTTGTAAGGTAAAGTCTGTTTAGTGCTATTGTCTTTAGTCTCAGGCTTGTATTTCCCTCTATGTCCTTCATAAAGTTCCCTTCAGGAACAGCTACCACTTTCAGGAAACTGATGTAAGGCTCTGGCTTAATATACAAATATCTCCAAGCCAAGCCCTGTTTCAAAGGATTTGCATTATACATCCCTTGTAACAACTGGTGCTTCTTATGGGAGCTGCTATCTCCCAGAATAGCTGCCTGGATCAAGTTTTGTCCTCTCCATCTTAAAGTTCATGCTTCTGATTGTCCTTAGAAAGAGTTTCCAACAAAGGAGGAGGGGCAGTGAATAAGCTGATGGAATAGCCATTTTTTGGTATTAAAATAGCTCTTGTCTCGACTCCTGTAGAGGAGCTGTATTTCCTTGGTTCTTGTTCCTGATTTGTGTTCTTGTCTGTTTGATTTCCGCCCTTGAAAACAGGTGTAGAGATGCTATAAGTAGCAAGAAGTCTAATGCATGCAGTGAGTTCCTTGCAGACTCTAAATTACACTTTTCCTTCCTGTGCCACAACCTCAGGTCTGTGACCTGCAACTGCAGCATATTTTCTGTGACTAACAGCTGTAATTCCCTAATTATCATGCTCTGTTCTCCTGCTGTGCTGTAGATTTTGTTACCAAGGGAGCAAACTAAGTTTCCTTGTTCCTACCCTTGCCCTCTATACTTCCAACTGTTTTAAATCCACCATTTGATGCAGCCCATAAAGACAAATTACTATCTGTCGTTTCAAATATTCAAAGTCTCCTGAACATATTACATATCTACATGCAGGGGAAGAAGAGGGCAAAATAAGTTTCTGTGTCCTGCCTTTTAGTGAAGGCAGCTGGTCCAAAGCTATTCCTAGTTTAGCAAAAGAACCCTTATTAGCTGTAACCATCCTGTGCAGAGTACTGGACTAAGTGGTCTCAGACAATGGGCCCAAGCCCAGGTAAGTGCTACTTCTATTAAGTGGCTGATGAAACTTCTGTAAAACCCTGGAAAATGGTGTGTGTTAAACCCCAGTTTAACACAGGCTGTATGTGTGTGGTGTAATTGGCATACAGACGTCATTGTCTGAGGATGACTGACATGGTAATGAGGTCAGTGGGTCACTTTCTTTTTGCCCTCTCATCTTTGAGGTTTGGGACAAATGATTGTATGCCAGATAGAAATGGGAATAAACCTGTGCTAGTCTAATGATTAGAGCAATACACCCAGACTGTATTGTGACAGGTAAGCAACCGATTAAAATATCACAGGAACATGTTAAGCAGCAGGAAAACCTTCTAGTTTCTACAAAAAGCACAGCTAAATATTTAACCTGCTAAGTACCCAAAAGTATACTTGTTTCCTGCATGCACCTTAGGCTTTATTGGATGAAGCCTGTCATCCTCCTGAAGGATGCTTCTAGGTAAGTCTTAATGCTCTGTACAGTTGTCAGTTTGGACTTGATCAGTCTAACATGGCTGTGTTCAAAACACTTGTGTAAAGCCCTTGGTGAAAGTCAGTGATACAAAGGAGTGCTTTCCACAGGACCGGGCTCCCATAATTAATATTTCATGTGTTTCTCCAGAAATATCATCCAAGCTGTAATGCAAATGATGTCTCCCAGGTCACACGATAAAAATTACTGACTCCAGAGAGATTTGCTTCTTGACTCTTCTGACCATTAAGCTAAGATGGGGGAGAATGCTCCTTTCTCTGGATCGCTGGAGTTAAACCCACAACTGCATCTAGAAAAGATGACACCCAAAAGGAAGTCAATACGGGGAATTACCTGCTTAACCTCAATCAGAAGAGAATGAAAGCTGAAGTACAGCTGCCAAAGAAAAGCAGTAAGTTTAGACAATACCACAGATTGCTCTAGAAGTAAGGTTGCCTAACAGTACTTTATGTACAGACTGAGCAAGGGGCTCTGTAGAGTGCATTATATAGCTGGCAAGCATGGGTCAGGTATGGATGCCCTTACATCTGTGGGCCTCTTGTAGATGTTATTTGCACTGCAGAATAATGGTGGGAAGAACCAGATGACCTCTGAAGTTGCTTTTATTCCATTTCTGTGACTCTGGTCTTGTGCATAGTGCTTAAATGTTAAGTATTAGACACCTTAGATGGTAGGTGTCAGAATATATGTAACATGGAAACTTGCTTTTAGGATGCATTAAACTCGAGGTTAGAGGTGATAAGAGTCAAGCTTTTGTACTTCAAAACTCAGGCTGTGGTGGTGGTAGCTCAGCAGATGTTTTGACTCCGTGGCACCATGGGGTGGCGTTATACTGTAATATCTATGTTAGATTGCAGCTGTAACAACTGCTAACAAATTTGTGCTAGCATGAAAAGTCTGAATAAAATGTAAAGGTGTTTCTGGTAAGAACTGTAGAAACGCACGGGGTTTGCAAACTGTTTCTGTTTTTTGTTCTTTTTCAGGTATAACAAAGGATCCAAGGTGTCTTTTGCCCTTCAACATGGGCTAGGAGAAATTACCTGCTACTGCTCATTAAAGTGGTCACAGTTCCTAGGGGGATATAGTTGGCAGTAGTGTTATGCAGTGGAAGTTGTACTCCTTGTACTCCTTGACAATTCTGAGTTGTTCAATGTGTCCAGGTTTCATAAATTCTGCAGGTAATGTTGTTGTCCCGTCCCCCCCACCATGAGCTCTCACAGATGTGCAGGTCTGATGGCCTCAAGCTGTGAGTGAGCAACTTGTGGTGGATGACTGCTGGTCAGCGCTCCAGAGGGGAGAGTATGATCACCTGGCTCTGAATAACTAAATAAACGAGGGAGTGGGGAGGGGGGAAATAAAAAGTGTGGGGGCCAGGAGAGGGAAGGGGTGTTCAATTGTGAGTAACCTGGATAAATGATTCTAAGAACATAACTAATGTAGTCGCTTGTTTGGAAACTGCTTAACATACATTTTTATGGTCCAGAATGGGTATGATAGACTTACTTAAGTTACCTGAGGGTGTTGGAGTGTGTATCCAGTTCTCCCAAAAGAGGCGAGAGGGTGAGTTGATAGCCAGCTTGCTTAAAGGAAATGCTTTACTTGGGAAGGAGGACACATAGTTGGCGAATAAAATGAAGCTCTGACCAGAGAGCTGTGATCCAAGTCATTCAAGCTAAAACCCAGATTGCACAGGCGTGGGTACTGTACCCTGCATGTAATGCTAAGGCAATAACAGCTTATGGGGTTTTGTTGGTTTGGGTTATTTTCTTCAAGCAAGAGAAGCAGAGCTTGAGTTATGAAATAGTTTTGGAGGAATGAGAGTCAGTCGCCAACTTCTATAGCCTTCTACTGCTGTGCTGTCCAGCTGTCTCTTTAGAGCTGTGCGGGGCTTGCTTACATGCTGGTACCACCTACAGTAGTGCCTCAAGTGATGCTCAGAAGCACATTGGGGCTGCTAAGGGTCACAGGGAAAATTGCCTTGGGAAGGTAAAAGACTGAGATGGACAAAGAGATGCTATTGTTGCTATTTGGATGTGTTGTTAAAGGTGGTGGGTGGAAGAAAGGCCTACTTTGAGTGAAGCTGGATGGATGCTGCCTTCACCCTCAGCTCTACTGCCAGAGGGGGATGTGCTTTGGTTTTGCTTCCTGTCCCTACCACCAGTGTGAGAAAGCAGGCAGGTGGGAAACTGGAACTGCAAAAACATTCCCTGGTGTACAGTGGGGGTTGGCAGGTAAGTGGCAGGTGGGGGCTGCTGTCAGGGAATGGACTAAGAGTGGCTGTACAATGTGTAGGCATGTTGTTAGAGTATCTGTCTGCTGTAATGGGTCCAATATAATAAAACAAACATCTTAAAAAGCAAACAAACAAACCCACTGTGGTTAATGTTGGAAGACTTTATTGAGATTGTATTCTGGAACAGCATCTTCCTCACACAGTAAGTACCTGTGGGTAGGAACATGACAAGGATGGAGACAAAGGGAGGACATACATGGTGACAAGTAGGACTGTGTGTGGCAGAGGAGTGCTGCATGTAGGTATGTGTGGTGGTGAGTGTGCAGTGAGCACATACGGTGCATCATAGGTAGCCATGTTGCATGTGGTAAGGAACTGGTATTGTGTGATGCGGTTTGTGTCATGAGCAGTGTATGTTGTGTTGGCACATACCCGTGGAATGTCTTGTGGGATGCATTGTGTGTGCAGCGTCATATGTGGTATGCAGCACACATTTGTGGTGTCATGTCTACAAGCATGGGTGTAGTGTCATGGGTGCGCAGCACATGTGGTGTGTGATGCAAGTGCAGCAGCATGGGTTGCGTTTGCAGCATTATGTATGTGGGGTGTAAAGTTTGGTATGTTACAGGTATGTGGCAAATGTACGGTGTTACAGAGGTGCAGTGTGTCCTGATGTGTAGCCTCTGTGGGGTGCAGCACATGTGCAGCAGCATGAGTTGTGTTTCGTGGATGCAGCAACTGTTGTGGAGCATAAGTGTGATACCTGCGTGTTTGTGGTGCAGTTTTGCAATACAAGTGGATGGTCAGGTGTAGGCACACAGGAGTATTGTATACTCACAGGTGTGTTGTGGTGCAAGTCTGTTCTGAGCAGCAAGCAGAGGTGGTGAAGGGCACGCACCACTTAGTGACTCATCTGTGCAGTGCATGAGCAGCAGCCAGGTCCTGTCTCCCTTCTGTCACGCTGTGGTTTGTATCCCAAGGGTGCAGCATGCACCTCTTCTGTTGTGCAGGTTTGAGTAGTAGGGTTTGTCTCCAGGGGGTGGTGTGGTTTGTTCTCAGGTGTGTTGTGCACATGTAGTTGGAGTGATACATGAAGAAGTGGCACGGATGTTCCTCCACCCATCTCTGAGGGATTTTGCCGCCCTCCCTCCTGCTCCACATGGGTGCTGAGGGCTGCCTGCAGCTGTCTGGGGATGAAGTGCACTGTTGGGGTGCCAGCCCCGAGGCTGGAAGGGGTTTGTGTATCCCTCACTGCGCAGCTTGCAGCTTTCCTCTCTATGAGCTGAAGGCCTATTGCAGCAGGGGGTTGTGTTTGAGGGGTAACACATAGACTATGCTGCAACTCAGTGGGTTTTCACTGCGGCAAGGCCCACCCTTATCAGCCACAGGCCTCAAGGTGAAGGCCAGGCAAATCAGACTGCTCACATTCAGCACCTCCATCACAGGGGGAGCAATGCTGAGGGCACAGGAGCATGCCCCAAGTGGTGCCCTTGGGGCTAAGCCTTCTGCTCTTCAGCCTCACAGCAGCAACCTGGAAAACCCTAAATCCAAAGTGAGGTTAAGGGTTAGGGGCGTTCCCTCACTGCACCACTCTGGCTGTGTACCACTTGGGCTAACGTTAGTGTCAGTCTGCTTGGGCTGAAGTCTGGAAAGCATCTATAACAATCCACCCAGAAATGGGGCTTTGGCTGTGGAGCTGTGTGGAGGCTTTGGCTATTTACCCTGTGTTCTGATGTGGTAACAGTTGCTTCAAATACAGCAGAACATCACTTGTTTTCAGCCTACTCACCTTAGTGCCCTAGCTCTGATTTATACCACCTCAGCAACCAGATTACAACTCTTCTCCCTTTCTGCTATTTTAACTTCTCTGAAAAAAACCCAAACATGCATATTGTATCCCGCTGAATGTTAGAAGGTTTGTTTGTTGATTTACAAAGCAGCTGTTTCAATTTGTTACTAGTAATGTGTATTTTAAATACAATAATAATAAATAGGCACAATAATAAATAGGCACAATAATAAATGCATGAATCAGGGACAAAGGGTGCTACTTGTACTTAAACAGCGAGACAAACACATGCTAAGTTTCCTTCAAGGGTCTTCCAGTGTTTTGCCATCCATCAGAGAAGGCTGATCTGGGCTACTGCTCATGTGCAGAGGGGATTTCTTCATCAAAATGTGCATAGAGGCTGTGGGCTCAGCTGCTGCCTGAAACAAGCAACACACATTAGAAAAGCTGTAAAGCCTGGAGCCACTGGCAGCTGCATCTTCTGTGCAAGCACTTCAAAGCACTTCCCCAACCTACCAAGAGCAAAAGGCTTCTTTTTTCTTTTAATACATGCTTGTACATAAATGCTACAAGTACAATATATATAATGTACACATATTTATTGACATGTAAATACATATATAGATAGACAGATGACATAGGATATATGCTTGACTAAACCATTTGGAGTGACCATTAACAGCCAAGCACATGGTTACCCAGTTCCGCCATGGGCTGCATTCTTGTGCACTGCACAGGCCCAGCTGGTAAGATAAAATGCAGCTTTTCCCATTTTAGCCTGTGTGACAAATGGCAGAAATGCTCAGACTAAGGGCCAGCAGGAGGTACCCTCTCACCAGTGACCAGCCAGAGACCTGTTTCCAACTCCACAGCTCAAACCACTGCTGGTGGCATTGCAAAGTCCCCATGTCACAGATTTTAAACAGGAAAAAAAAAAATGGACTTTGGGGAAGAGCCTTCAGGAATGGGGAAAGCTGCATTCCCAGAGACACAATGGTTCCTGGTTGCAGACAAGAGGGTTCCAGCCCCTTCTCCACGGTGAAGATTCTGGGTGCCAGGCCCCACTACCTCCAGGGCCATGGGTGATGGGTCATGCTACCCAGCTGCAGCCAGGTCAGTGGCCCAGTATTTCTTCCTGTAGTTTCTCCCAGACCTATGCCTTCTGTCTCCTGATCCAGTCTCAGGTATTCAGCTCCTGCCTGAGACACAAGCATGAGGTCAGCTGTTGTGCAGTTGTAGTTGGAAGTGTATTCAATACCTACTAAAACTGCTACAACTCTTTATATAAATATACAAAGTATTATATTTTTCTTACTAATATACAATATATATTGGTATTTGTAGATATCCAAAATATATATGAAAGAGAGAAACAATCCTTTATATACACACTTTTTTCCTGACCCAAACAAAAACATCTGGCATAACCACCTCACCATCCAATATTGCACAGACAATCCCGTTGCCTACAACTGAGTGCAGCAGCATGTCACCCAAAACCAATGCAACTGAAAAACCAGACACAAATGTGAGCAGGGTCCTGCACATAGGGTGGGTGCATGCACACCACTACTATGCCTGTGAGCCTGTTCTTTGGTGGTGAAAGTATGGGGTAAGTTACTCTGTGACACATGTTTTTTTCATGAGAAGAAAGCACTCTAAATTTACAAGACAGTTCCATAGCTGTAACAGGAGCTTGTACTGTATGTGCGTCCTACGGTGCCTTGTTACTAGGCTCATGCTATAGGGACTTCACTGTTATCTGCAGAAGACCTTGTCTCACTGGTCATTTTCTGCACCAAGCTTTGCATTCCTCCCTTTTTCCCCAGCCATCCTTCCCCAACAAAGGCTCCTTTTCAGAAGAATTAAGGCGCAAATCATCATATCTGTTCCAAGGGCGGAGTGTGTCAGTCTTATTTACTCCACGAGGAGCACTGGCATTCATCGGATGCCAAGAGTTGGATCTGAGCATTTCCTTTAATTGAACAGGTTTGCAGTCTTTCTGTGCTGAAGCAATTCTCCACATCACACACGCCTGCATACCAGAATAAAACAAAAACTTAAGAGCGTTGGCTAACAAGACCGAGAGGCTCATTGTTTAAACAAGAGGCTGATTGTCTGGGTGCTCGGGTGCTCCGTTCCTCCAACATTAAACCCACACGAGGGACAGCAGCCTAATCCACAGCTTGCTGCCAGGTGGTATAGAAATTAATCTTACACTTACCCAGGCTATTAGTTGCGGTATTTGTAAAGGTTTGCAACCCAGTGAGGCGAGTGCCTGAAATTTTCTCATTATCATGGAGGGTCATGGCAACGTGGCAATATGAAATATCAGGCTCTGGGAGTGTGCCCCTTGGTGAGGAAAGTGTGGATGATGTGCACTGCAGAGACACTGGCAGGAATGGCCCCCAGGACCTTCTGGTTCAACACATGCAGCCCAGCCTGTCTAATCACACAGCAAATATGTTGGAAGGTAGGGGATGGACTTGGAAAGCCCAGGCTTGCCACAGACCTGAACATGGTCCACCATAACTTGCAGTGCTGAGCACTGAAGGGAACTAAATACTGATTTTTGTCACCTTTTAGCCACACCAGAACTCTGATTTCTGGTCTCACAGGATCACTGGGAGTGCTGGACACACAACACAGCAACCCTCAGTAGGTGTCCTAGAAACTCAGGGACATGCTTCAGAGCTGCTTGCCAGGACATTTAACTCAACTACCTAACAGGGTGTTAGGAGACAGAGGAGGAAAAGAAATCCAGTCCTTTATTAGACTGCTGCTCCACTAGAGTCCAAGTAAGAAAGGGAAAATAGCAGCAAGCAAGTGATCAACACAAGCTGGCCCACGTAAATGTTTGGAAGGGTAAAGCCTCACTAGTATATAGCATGATCTCTTCCAGTTTCTATCTGCTCCCATTTCACTGCAGACCTGATTCTTTGCAGAGCACTGCCACAGCTTTTTACAACACAGATACATACAGTTTGATGCAGGTAATACAAACATTACAACTGTTTTCCCCACTCTTCCCTAGTGTTTTCCAAATCCCATTTAGCCATGGCTTTTCTTAATGCCCTCTCCTTGACTTTTATCACCCCAGGAACTTGCTCTCGTGCCACAGGAAGATGGCAGCCTCTTAACTTGCCTGCACAGTGACCAACCTACACGCTGTGCAAATGGAAAAGCGAATGGTCAGGGCCAAGTGCAAGTCAGTCCCTCACCATGTGTTTGCACATGACTCTGACTTGGTGCCCAGGTATGTCTCCAGGGCATCCCAGGTCGTTCCCTGTCCTGGAGAAACGCTCTGCAAAATGCAACCGCTTTTCCCAAACAGTAACGCCACAGTACCCTTTGCTCCATGTATTCCTCCTGTTCATGTCATAGAATCCTGGAATAGTTAGGGTTGGAAAGGACCTTAAGATTATCAAATTCCCTTGCATGGCAGCAATTTAGCAGTTTAGCCACCATCTTCTTCCATGTCTGCTATAAAATTTTCAGCCACGCCAAATCCTTCTATTTCCAGAGTTTAATTAGGCTAAAGGTTCAAATTCTGCAAGATAACTGAAGAGCCGAACAAATCTGAAAGACTTGAAATGCAGATTTTTGTGGATCCCATGAATAGCAGCAGAGCTTGGGCTTAGAGGAATTTGAATCAGAATTATTTTTGTTCCTTGTTTGGCTTGGCTTATAAAACATACAGCCAATAATTCCACAGCCTCTGTCAAGCTTATTGCTATAAATAACAATTTACCATTGAAATTAAATGTAAAGGGTCAGAACTGTGCTCAGAGATTCATGTATCACCCAGGAAAGGAGATTCCAAGTGAGTTGAACAGAGCCTGAAAAGTAAATTTGCCACAACAGATGGGAAGAATGAACAATGGGAAGAACTGAACAAACAATGTGTTCGTTCCTTCTGGTCCCATATTTTATTTAATCCACTGTAATCCCACCTGCAAGCACTGCCACAGGATGAGGCACTAGACAGCCACACAATCAGACCCAGCCTCCAACCTAAACCTGAAAGGCAGGGCAAAGATCAGAAGCAAGTCTGCAGTCCCACTGCTAACCTCCATCCTTGGCTGTCACTAGATGTGGCCTTTGGAAAGTCATTCTTGAATCAACAACAGCAAACCAGTTACAGGGACCAGCTGGGGTCCTGGCAGTGCTAGCCGAAAGGCTGGGTCTATTTAGCAGGACAGTGTACCCTGACCAATGCTAGACATGATCAAGCATTCTACTTTTCCTCATTCAAATTTGACTGCAGTAGAAGGATCCAAGAACTGAGCCAACAGCTTTGGCTTTCATTAGCTGGAATCTCCACCTCAGCACTATCCACTGCCTTAATACTGCAGAGGTGCTTAGTTCAATTTAGAAAAACTAAAACTTAACCCTGCTCAAAAGAGTAGCAAGTTCCTGCAGCAAGTGCCAGCTCTCATCCGACCGATGCAGGAGTATGTTCCCAAATAAATGTGTACTTGAATCCCTGTGCTGACAGCCATATAGCTGGCTCCAATTCTAGTCATAAACAAAGCCACAGCGAGCAGACCTAGTCACAATCATCGTGGGCATTTCTGGCAAAGACTGAACAGAAATGTGTATATCTGCTAAAGGTGGCCTTCATCTTGTAGCTGCAAACAATAAAAGATCCACTAGTTATGTTGGCTCAGCTACCTCTGTTTTTCTGGAACAACCCTGTTTCCCAACTTGGTTACTAGTCTTAAAATCAACATCAGCAGACAGGGGAGCAGACTGTGTGTGGGACAGCTAATGTCTGCCCTTAAAAACTGGCCCAAACTGGCATAACACAGCAGACTTATGACCAACTTTCAGCTGAACCAGCCAGAAAAAACACACTGCCCTAAGCCCTGACCCAGTGAACAGAGCCCATTGTCCATGACCTGCCTTGAAAGAGAGAGGCAGCACTTAGTTCCAACACCAGCTCTAGTCAGTTTTACTGTGTCTGTTATCTAGGTCAAACAAGCTCTCCAATTCCAAACTTAATTTCATCTCCCCACTGCAATCACTAGAGTGCTGCTCTTTCAGTTCCACCTGGCTGAAGCTGTGGGAAATGTCAATCAGCTCGGCTGTTCCATCTCCCTCTGAGGAATGTGAACTGTTTCTCTGTTTCTCAAATCAGACCTAAAAAAACTTGAACACTAGATTTAACCTTAACAAAACCAGTACCAAGCATCAATTATTATTGCTTCATAAGGTGAAAAGGTATTACGTTAAAACAATACCAGTGTTCACTCTAGAAGAATTGGTACTATAAAATACAGAAGTACACCTACTTTTTGGCTGAAGGAGAACTCTTATTGTAAACCTCAATGTAAAGCAAATTCAAGACTTACCTTGGAAAAAGAACTTCCCTCTTTTAGCTAATGAAAACACAGGGGAAAAAAGCAACACCCCACCTTATTGCTAAACACCTCAAACCCTCTCTTTGTGACTAATTTAAATTGGGATTCACTTGAATTATAGTTAAAAACCTCACAATGTCCCAGACAATTGCTCACAGTCTTAGCTTACAATAAGACTAGCACAGACTCCCAGTTCAGCACAGCAGCCACCTTAAGCAGGTACCCATTCCCCCAGGTGAACCCCCTATTAATCACAATATCTAATTTTTTTCCATCATTATTTTAATAGACACAGACTACCTAGGGTAGGATGACAGGTTTTTTGAAATAACAGCCCCTAAATCCATTACTATGTGAGAGGGTACCAGTATTTCTCTTATGTAGTCTACTGAGGGCTGGGGCTGCAACATCACTACAAGCTGCTTCCTCCTGGAAAAGTTTGTTATGCCATATGAGAAAACCACTGTGTTTGATACTGAGCCTTACTTGGAAGTATCAGTGTTTTACAAGCACTGAGAAGTTACTTAAATTCTCTCTCTCTGTTAGTAATACATGATTACTAATTAAATTTTACAGCAGGGTAAAAGAAAGTCACCTCTGCTGCTTTATTTCTCTTAAAACACATAACCAAGTTGTGTTTCCCACCAACGATTTGCTGATCTGTATACATAAAACCTGCTTTCTAGAGGCACTTCAGAATATTTATACACCTCCACCATGGTCCTCGATTATCCATGTGCTACTTTGTGCAGATGGAAATTAGGGAGGAAGTGTGTGCAGTGGTTTACAGGATTGACAATCTTAATGAAAAAAGTTATTAGCCACTTTGTGCAGTCACTGCTATAGAATATAACTGGGCAGAGAATTATTTACTTTTTTACATACATTTTTCACACTGTGGTTGAAGCACAGCCCCACGACTGCTGAAGGCACCACAACCTTAGGGAAATACTTTGAGCCAAATTCAGCCCTTTTAGATTCCCTTCCACAGGTGTGAAACTTCTGTGGCCATTTGTTCTGCACAAACCCAGCATCATTTGCTGGAGCCACTGGCTCAGCACCCTTGAAGTCCCAGGCTGGAAAGCATCTCGCCTCTCACACTCTGCTATCATCCATTCAGGGTCATTATGATATTTTTTTCCATCTTCACAGCTCTCAGTTTCACACAGCTCTTGCCTTTGCACTGGCACTTCTGGCCCCATCTTCTAAAACAAGGTTCCAGTCTTGTAAATGTGAACTCCTGTCCATACACACTTGGTCCACATGTGATGAGTTCAGCAAGATCTCTTGACAGAGGATTACCCTGCTGCCATCCCAGACAGAGCTTCCCCTTCTCTCCAAACCAGTTCTGAAAACACAACATCATCTCCCAAGCAAGTTCTCCTCTAGTGAGGACAAATCAGAAAAACCTCTCAAATTAGAACTATCCCCTTTTCATTTGAGGGGAGCAAGGAATGGCCCACAACCCAACAGCTATCCAAAGACACAAGCTCACCTGCCATTGATCCATTTATGGGTTCTGCAACACACTGTACAGGGACCCAGGGCATTAGGGCACCATGAGATAAAGGTTTGGGAGCACAGAGGAGCAGGTCCTTAACTTACCCGCAGCTCAGCTCTCACGCCATAGTATGGGGCTCTTTCTTTGGGATGGGTATTCACATGTTATGCTTACAGACTGCAAGATGTAAGCAAGATGTACAATGCAAACACCTGCAGATCTCCCTTTACAGTTAGGGAAAAAGGGACCAGCTGAGGGCAGGATTCACCCAGCCTACTGCAGATCTCTATTTCAGAAAGAGATGCATCATTATTTCTGTACACTATCAAAGAGGAGCAGAAGGGAAGTGGTACTTCAGGGGGACACTTCAGCACTACAGTAAGCTAGATATCTTATTACTGAAAGTTGACTATCCCCAAGTACTAAGGTATCTGTGGAACTAGACACACATGAAATATTTACCACTGCTCATTCTTTATGTGAGAAAGAGGAAGCTCTTTATGGCCAGTATCTATCACTAGATCTGTCGTGTTCAGTGGGGATTGCTGGAGTAAAGCTGGAGTCTTGGTTTCCTCATAACATGTATAAGTTTGGGTATACTAGAAAATAAGTCAACTTGGGCAAAGCCTGGTAAGTTCTATAGGAAGAACTCACATCATAACTGGCCCATATTTGAGATTTTGCCCAACAACATATGCAATGCATTTTCACAAGAATGTTAAAAATTCATCTACTAAATCGAAATGTTTTGTCCTAAACTGCAAAATAGTTACAAAGGTCTCTCTGGAGAATCAGTTTGCTCATAGCTGCTTTGAGCTGTTTAAGGTACACTTTGCTGTAAAAAAAAAATAGCATTCATTTTCAGGACACTACAAATTATAATGAGAGAAATAAACTCAAATGCAGTTTGGTGCTTTTGGTTTTTTGTTTTGCTTGCTTTTTTATTTTTAATTATTTTTAAAGAGTAGGGATTTCTTCTTCCAGACCTTCTCCATTGCAGAATATTCTTCATGTCCTTCATCAGTCTTGTACTTGGTTACAGATGGAAAATATTAGCTCTGGTTTACAAAACATGGCCCCGTTTCCTGTAACACAGCACAGGTTGGACAAATCTGTCATTTGAGTAGTGTGTCTATTCTGTGGCCAATTCTGTAATCTACAAGCAATGTGATCCTAAACAAGGAATCTCATGTTAGCAGCCAAGATTGGAAAATCCCTGTTTAGTGCAATTGCTGCCAAAACCATCTCACTTGCTAAGGACAAACTAATTTTCAATCTGTACTTTGGGACCTGTTGCTTCTCTTTTTTTAGCTCTATTTTTTAATAAATAAAACATACCTCACTTTCTAAGATTGTACAAATGTGCACTTGATTTTAGAAAGTGCAAAATGGATTCAGAAAAAAGTTTTGGATGCAAAAAAAAAATAGAATACTGTAAGAAAGATTGTTTTTTAGTATTATTTGAAAAAAAAATCCGTTTTGCAAATTTAAAGAGTTGCATTTCAGAACAAAGAGCAATAAGGTTGTGTACAAATAAGAGAACAGAAAGAGAAAAATAAAAAGGTGTTTTACAATACAGATAGGACATAGATTTAGGGTGATCTAGACAGAGCTTTAAATGAGAACTTGACCTCAGTTTTCAAGGATCAGGATATGAGGTGATCATAACTAAGATGGAAGTAAAAGTGGACACAGAAGTGAAAGGCAGGCAGAAGCAGCTACACTAAGTTTTCCCAGTCACAGACGCTTCCAGCTGATCAAAAAGAATTCAGTGCCAAAGAGTGCTGATATTTAAAAACAGAGCTCAGAGAAATTACTCCAGAGAAATAGATTGAAGTATTTAGTGCTTTTGAAGAAATCTTGAAAGAAGGAGGAGAGAAGTTTGATGAGACAAAGGGGAAAGTGACTGTATGACAGAGACCAACCTACCAAGTACTGTGTGTACCAAATAAGTGACTTTTTTCTCCACAGAAAACTTTTCTCGAAGAAAGCTGATGTAAGAGCTCTCATGTTTGGACATTAATAAACCATTTGACATGCTGACACGAGAGAAACATTACTCAAAAGAAGACTAAAGATTAGCAGAGAACCTATGAATTGCATGAGAAGTTGAGCCAAGACAAAATGGAAATTAATGTTTTTGAGAAGTATCAGGTTAGAGTAAAACGACTGGAAGAAATTGTTAGGAATAGCTATGGGACAAAATTTTGTGTATATTCATTTACTTAAGACAAAAATACAAAATCTTTCAGTAAATTAAGCTGAAAAGCATTGCCAGCAGAAAGGCACCTGGGGGCTGCTGTATACCAGGAACCAGCTAAACCTAAGAAGAGAATGCAAGTGAAGGTGACCTTTCCATTGTGTGAAACAGAATGTTAAATGCTGAAGACTAATTTCAAGGGTTTATTGTTGCAATTTAATAGCTCATTAAAAGCTGCAAAGGATTGAGAAGCAGTTGTGTGCCTGAGCTGGTCCTGCAATAACTATCAGCATCAACATGATGCACTTACAAAAACAGTGAACGCGATCTTACAGTATCACAAGAGGAGTTCTTAGCAGACATGGGGAAGTGTTCATGCCACTATGCAAGTGTCAACAGTACCTCCTTCAGTGTATTTGGTATGGTTCAACTCAGTATTTAAGCAAAAGGAATTTTATTTGGAATATATCGCATTTAGGAAGGGTCACAAAAAAATAATTCTGAGCCATACGTGGCCTCATTTGGTATCACATGTACCTTTTCCAGGGTTTGAATTCTTCTCTCTTTGCCCTTCCAAATGCTCCCTCTGTAGTTTCCTATGTGAAGAGCTTTCTGTTTTAAGAAAGCTAGGATTGGAGGTTGTGGGGAGTTCGTTTTGTTTGGGTTTTTGTTTTGTTTTTAAAAATTGAGTATTACCAATGCTAGTTTTTCTTGCTTTTTCACTCCCTGCATAAATTTGATTTTGTACAAATTACAGCATCTCACACTTTGCCAGCCTACTGAGCTCGAGCAGTTGATGGCTCCTCTTAGGAGGTGGGCAGTCGAGGAATTGGGAGGAGGAGGTTGCCCTGTCAGGCAATCAATGTCTGGAGCAGTTCCTCATTGAAAGATGTGTGAGCAAATCTCTAGGCTCTAAGGGTGAGCTTGGTAAGGTTAGAAGAGGGACTGCCCCAAGTGTCCCATTGTCCTGGGTTCAGCAGTAGCAGTCATTTTTCTGCTTCTTAATAGCTGGTGCAGTGCTGTGGTTTTGACTTTCAGCCTGGGAACAGCACCGACAACACCGATGTTTTTAGTTGCTGCTCAGTAATGTTTACTCTGACCAAGGACTTTGTGAGTCTCATGCTCTGCCAGGCAGGGGGGGAAGCCAGGAGGAAGCAGAGACAGGACACCTGACCTAAACTGACCAAAGAGGTATTCCATACCACAGTGCATCATGCCCACTATAGAAACTGCGGGGCCATTACCCAGAAGGGCTAGATCACTGCTCAGGTTGGGCTGGGTATCGGTTGGCAGGTGGTGAGCAGTTGTATTCTCTTCCCTTGTTATTTCCCTTATCATTATTATCATTGGTGGTGTGATTTGTGTTATACCTTAGTTACTGGGCTGTTCTTATCTCAACCTGTGCGAGTTACATTCTTTCTATTCTCTGCCCCATCCCTCTGGGAGCAGGGGGGAGGCGGGGCGGGGGGGGAAGTGAGCAAGCAGCTGCATGGCTGAGTTTCCGACTGGGCTTAAACCACGACACCCATTGAGCAAAGGCTGTACAGCACAGGAAAAAGGAACCCTGATTTTCTATTCTATGTGTTATTGACATGGCATCCTCTGAGCGTTGCAATCCAGGTGCAATCATCAATGTACGTTACCACCTACATTCAAATGAAGGGTCACCCTGGTCTTGCCCAATTTGATAGTGCAACACACAGGAAAAAGTTCACTTTTAATTCCCCAAGCTGCCTCAACTCGTGACATTTTAATCTCTTATCCAGCAATTAGTTACACTGAAGAAATCCCTGTTATCAAAACCACTGCAAGTGTTGGATTTGGCTCTGCAATCACCCAGCACCTCTCTGTATCTATTGCCCTTCATCTCTCTGGTGGCACAGCCTGGTCCAGACCAGCTCCTGCTGGGAAACACCAGTCCTGTGTGTGTGAGATGGGTATGGGAGCCACAGGGAAATTGCCCTGGCTTCCTAAAGAGCTTCTTTCATCCCATGGCTCTTCTCTGCCAGAGTGCAGGAGCTAATAATATCCCTTTGCTTCTGTTATATAGCATTTCCTCCTCTTTATTTTAACTTTTACTGGTTGCATTACCAGCTGCTCCTTTGCATCTGCTGCATGACTGAATGTCAAAAGAAGCTGTAAATCAATTTATGTCATTCATCAAATGGTGAAATTGTCACTTTCTCTGCTTCTGAAGGAAGAGAGAATTTTAAATGCAGCTTCTAAATATACTTCAGAATTTTATTATTTTAGTTAAAATTATAAAGATTTTTAAGAGACAACACAAATTCAGCTTTCCTTGGTAAAGGCTTGTGCTGAGATTTCATCAAGACAGTCACAACCACCAATTGGCATGAAAGGGACAAAACTGCAGACCTCAACCACACCACAGGCAAAACACTTCCCCAGTGCTGTTGTAGTCATATAAATGTGCTTGCTGGGGAGCTGGAGCTAGAGAGAAGGATGGACACAGGCATATTGGGACCAAAACCCTGAGTCAGGTCCTCCATTTATCTCATCCCAACACTCTTCCATATCCCAATTCCCACCTTTTTTGTTGTTGCTGTTGTTGGGTTTTTGTGTGTTTTGTTTTGGGTTTGATTTTTTTTTTTTGTTCTTGAGAAAAGCCAGCACAGCTCACAGATATGGGAAGCACACCTCTATGTCTAGTGCATCCCTGTCTGACCACAGAGACTGGAAACAAGAAGCCTCAATGTAAGACAACTATCAGAGAAATGAGGAATATTTTTGCAATCTGTTGTGTGTTTTTCAATTATTATTTCTAATGAAACAAACAAAGTGTAAATATAGATGCTTATTGCTTCCTATTATGAGTGCAGCAATTGCAAGTTTAAACAGAATAAAGCATGTGATTATGAATGTACAATACACAATTTATTCTTATCAAGTTGACAAATAGCTGTTTTCTTAATATTTATATTAAAATACTTTGTCTAGATAGCTTCCTGAAATACTTCCCTCAGTAGCAGTGATTAGATTTCAAACATCAGGTCAAAATAATGAATAATGGACCAAGAGGAAAAAAAAAATAAAATTAAGAGCTAAACATTTTCTTTTAATTCAGCTACTAATTTTGAACAACTGAAATTTAAGACACTTGCATTCATTTAGGAAATATTAAAGGAGTAACTATTTGTTCTCTGCTAGCACTCCGTCTTTAGTTTCACATGAATGATAATCCAGGCTCCTTTTGCCTTAGGATCTGTGGATTATGTTTCCCAATGACCTTCTACAGAGGCTTCCAAAAATAGGGAACTGGGAAAGGGATGGCACCAAGCGCTTATGGAGCGCAGGCATATCTTCCTGCTTTGCACCAGGGATGCAAAGGATTTCAGCTTTTATTTTCTTAAATGCTTTTTCACCCTTTCTATACAAAGATCATAGAATCATAGGATAGTTAGGATTGGAAAGGACCTTAAGATCATCAAGTTCCAACCCCCCTGCCATGGGCAGGGACACCTCACACTAAACCATATCACCCAAGGCACTGTCCAACCTGGCCCTGACCACCACCAGGGATGGAGCACTCACCCATTCCAGTACCTCACCACCCTAACGGGAAGGAACTTCCTCCTTATATCCAACCTAAACTTCTCCTGCTTAAGTTTTAACCTGTTATCCCTTGTCCTGTCACTACAGTCTCTAATGAAGAGTCCCTCTCCAGCATCCCTATAGGCCCCCTTCAGATACTGGAAGGCTGCTACGAGGTCTCCACGCAGCCTTCTCTTCTCCAGACTGAACAGCCCCAACTTCCTCAGCCTGTCTTCATACGGGAGGTGCTCCAGTCCCCTGATCATCCTCGTGGCCCTCCTCTGGACTTGTTCCAACAGTTCCATGTCCTTTTTATGTTGAGGACACCAGAACTGCACACAATACTCCAAGTGAGGTCTCACAAGTTGACCATGAAACCACAAACTAATGAAAATCAAATCCCCCCCCCCTTTTTTTTTCATCTTCTTTTTTCTTCTAAATAATTTTAATATACCTCCACAAGCACTCAGGAATTACATGTGGAGCTGTCAACTAAAAGATCCCTTTTAGGTATTCACTTTGCCAAGGTATGTTTTTTGTTTTATATTTAACAACGAAAGACCTAATGATACTCAAGGACTATGCAAGTGTAAAAGGGAAGACCAAATGGCATTGTGCCTTTTTTTTTTGCTTACATTTTAAAAAAGAAGCAAAACCACACAAGACCCCCAGTTCTTGAAAAGCAAAAACCTTTCACAAGGAATACTACAATAAATTCATCTTTGCAAGTGACACTTGCTCACAAAGTCATTCCATATTTAATTTCAGCACTGAAAAGATGTGTCAGAATGTTTTTGACAGTACATTTTCTATTTATCACACCTTCTGCTTAACCCCATTTCTTTTCACTCCTGCAATATGCTTTTTGCTAAGGCACAACAGACTTCTTTTCAGAAGCAAATATTGTTTTAATTGCTTGGAATTTCATACGCTGTGCAGGTGTGAAAGGCTTTGGTGACGGTCCTCCAAGTGGTGTACATTTCAGTGCTAAAACACTACTAATTATCTAGGCATGAATTACACTTTTTCCTTATTCATAAAAAAAAAAAGAAAAGAAATCCTGCAGGGGTTTTATGTTGCACTGCCATTGCTGACATTTTACGTGGCAAGTTTTGTATTTTCATTTCCACAAAGGAGTTTTCAAGAGCAGTTTTATTCAGATACCTGCACTTTAAGGCATTTACAGATCATACGCTTCACACAGATCATACACATCATACATTTACAGACCCATTCCACCCAAAAAATAGTGGATTTAAATAACATAACCATTAAGAGCATGAACAGAAAATTTAAGGCAATAAGAACTACATAGCAGTCATAATTCAGCTACAGCACAGCAGTCTGTCAAAAACTCAGCAAATACATAAAGTTACTCAAAACTCTTTCTTAGAACTTCATTAAACTGACCTTATGTCTTACCCTACAGACTTCCATAAGAAAGCTACAAACAATGCTGAAATCATCCCCACTGCAGCTGGGGTTGGCACAACAGATGAACTACCTAAAAGAAACCTGGTCTGGAGACAGGGAGGCATGTTCCCGTCCCAAATGGAGGGATGTTTTTACCCTGTTGCCCATCTCCTACAGTTGAAATTACACTAGTGTTGGATTTCATGCAGAGGCACACACCAATCTACAGCTGATGAAATGATAATTTATCCCTCTGGGTAAGGAAAAACAGCACCCTGCATACTGAAGGTCTAAATGCCACCCAAGGATACAGGATTTTAGATAGTGACATCTAGCATAGTGGGAGTTTTACAGAGAGCCCCACAGGAGCCACAGACTCTACAAGAATAGAATATTTCTTTGCACTGACAAGCCCCAGAGAAGAGACCTGACAAAAAAAAAACAAACAACAACTTATCACCTTCTCAAAAAAAAAAAAAAAAAAAAAATTGGAAACATTGGAACCTCTTTATTTTATAGAAAAATTGAAATAAAACAATTTTCAATTTACTTCTTCAAATATCCATACATTTTAGGTAACCAAAGTCATGTTGTTGAAAAGTTTTATACCATTTTCCTCTGAAATTCCCTCATATTTTAACTACTTTAGAGGGTACAGGGAATAAAAGTTTTCCTATGATTTATGGAAATTATTTCTCAGCTGTCTTTATCAAATTTGTGTGTGCTATCAATGTACAGGTTGTCCCAATAAAAATGCAAAACGCCAACTGCCTTTGAGCTATACCATGAGATGTTGACTATACACAAGTCAAACTGTACCAACCAGGGTATGCAACAAAGGCTGCCACTAGGGAAAAATGATGGTATCACAAAGATGGCAAGAAAGACTTAAATATTTGATAATTCATTTACAAGCACATTATGTATTATAGAAAAATTTACATTTAAATCACTACAGCTATTTCAAGTTAATGTGAATATACTTTCTTACCTAGTGTTTATCACAAGTCTACATAAAACTTTGCTGCTGTTTTGAGAGAAAGAAAAGAAAAGGCTATTTTGATTCCAAGTATTTTCAAAATATTTGATAAAGCAATTTTCTCCATTTGTTGGACCTTGAGGTTATACCAATTCCAATCTGTTACTCAGATGTGGGAAGTGTGGGTACCAAGACATTGCATATAAACATCACTGTGTGCAAGGGTATTTTAAGGTGAAGAAAAAAGCATCACTTCAGAATTAAAACTAACAGATTTTATTTATTTATTTATTACTAAAAATAGATCTAAACATACAATATCAGGGCATGAAGGAATGCAGCTTCAGAAGAACCTTAATCCAAGCAGAAGATGAGACTCTCAGAGGATTTCTGCATGAAAAGTCACTGACAGTGTGCAATACTAATTTCATGTGTGTATTAGTGCCACAAGTCAGTGAAGTATTTGGCCTTGGTATCATGAAGGCAACTGAGCACAATTCAAAAATAGTCTAGCTGGCAGCATCTCACAAAAAATATATGCTATATGTGCGGACAAGGTCAAGAAATTATGAATTTTGACATATGTTTTTATGACATTAAGCAATTATCTGCAATTTTCTAAAGGCAAAACATCCAGACTATCTCAGCGGTACCTCCTGTCACACTCTGCACAGCTCCTGTAACAGTGTTTGATGAGACCATGCTCTTAAAAAGAACAAACAAGTTGTTATCCATTTGTCAGTGTTGCTACCTGGCAGTACTCAATGACAGTCCTCTCTAAAAAAAGTTATGTAGTGTTAATTATATACATAGAATTAACATAAGCACAGCTCCTATCTACCCCCTGGAAATAATTCCACCAAAGTCACCTTTTCAATCCCCCAGGATCAGCACAACAGGTTGAGTATCCATGACCAACTTATGTTTTCATGGAATTTCACCAGCTTATGTCTTTCTGTTACTGTTTTTATAACACAGTTGCCAGCAGTGACATCATTTGTTTTAAATGTCACTCCTTTTGCACCAATAGGCACAGCACATGAGAAAACCCTGCAGCAGCAGTCTGCGCCCAGAACAGGTCTAAAGCTCCCATCAGTTTTTCTTCTAGGTCTCCTCAAATCCTTCATCCAACAACCATGCTGGGCCAAGCCCTGCCCCACACCACTAGCCTTGTAACCAGTGCATTGGTCCTGGGGCACAGGGACCTCGCAAGCTGCAATCCATCGCACGCTGTCAACAGCCTCAGCAAATCTCAGAGACATCTGTGGCTTATCAAGCCAGCAGCATTTTTCCTACATTAATCTCCACTAGTCCTGCCCCAGCTTTCATTTCAAAAGACTTGGCATGGTACCTTCAAAAAAAAAAAAAAAAAAAGTTAAAAAAATTGCTCAATTTCTTCAGATGCAGCTGGTTGGGAGAACTGCCTTTGAAATCTGAGCACATCGCAGGGATGTCGACATGCTCATTGCAGGCAGCTTGCAGCACAGGGGACAGCACTAATGACTGCAAAAGACTTTCAGATGCTGCCCTTGGACAAGCCTTCCCCTTCCTTAGGGAGAGTTTGGGGTGTGCTTTAAGTAGCTGTTGTGTCCAGGGGCTCATCCAGATACAGTGCACTCATGTTGAACACCCTCCTCTAGCCTATGTTCTCCCATCAGCTCTCAAAAACCAGCTGGGAGGGTTTCAGTACCCTCCCTCTGGTCACCAGCAATGTCACTGCACATGCTCTTCAACACTTATGTTGAGGATGATAGCCAAAGTAAGGCAACAGCCTTTACTGCTGATGTGATGAAAGGCCAGGAAACTTTTCCAATCATGCTGCATGTGTCCCTCTGGTCATGCCCCTGCCCATAACATGGTCCCTCTCCCCATTTCCCTGATGTGCCCTGATGCTCAGGGACATCCCAGCCTCTGCAATCAGTCTCCCAAGGTCATGTCTCCTCCTTGCTGCCCTGGAGATGCTCCTGTTGCAATCACATGTAAGCTCATGTTACGCATTTTAAAAGGCAAAAAATCTCCATCACACCACTCTTACTAGACACTGAAATTCATCTTCAGTCAACAGAGATTAATTACTAGAGGTTAAACTCCTGTTAGGACCAGACAGCACCGACTCAACTGCCTCTCGAGTAAAGCCCACAAAATTTTCTCAGAGCCTCATGAAACAATTTTAGATCCAAAGCATCTCCTTATGGACAGCAACTAGGTCTTTCTTCTTGCCTATTTTTAAATAACCTGAAGGATCTCTTATGACTTTTAAATAAAAATCTTATGGCTTAAGCAGTATTTAACATTCATTTTTAGTTAGTATTTGCTCAACAAAGAAATACTAACACAACCTTCAAACTACCAAAGTTTAGTTGCCACTGTCTCAGTTTACCTGGTACCTTTCCACACACCTATGCTGTGCAGGTGAGGCAGGTAGATTGTTGTCCTTATGGGTCTAAAAGCATAGGAGGAGGGAGTGCTGTGCTTCATACAGATAAAAAAAAAAGGACTAATGGTGTTTATATTTACAGCTCGTCTTCAGCTCCAGCTGTCTCAAAGCAGAGTGACATAAAACATGTAAGTTGGTTGTATTTCACAAGAGGATATCCGTATGCTTTCATATCACATTAAAAAGTCAAAATATGCTTCCATCCAGACTGTGCATGCCAGGAAAGGGTCAGAACAGCTTTTTCAGCATTGAGCACATGATGCCCGTCACCAGGCCAACTCCACCATGAGCATCTCAAACTAAGCTATCAATTCAGGTAACCTTCCCTCTACATCAAAGTGATGAATTTAAAAGCAGAAAATTTAACAGAACGTATGTATGTTTGTACATATACACACACAGAAAAGTACCGCTTAATCCAAATCAGAATACATTTAAAAATGTAACCCAAACTTTACATCAATCTTAACACACATCATCTTCTGTAGTTAATAGAACATTAAAAAAGTGATTACTAATTGCTCCAGAAATTCAACTAAACATAGTAAGATCAAGAGAAGAATTAGTAGCTCACTTATCTCTTTATAGTGGTCTATATACATTCAAGGAAATATTTATTGCATTATGAGTTTAAAGTTACTCACATTGAAGCAGCTTGGAAACGGCTTTCAGTATCACCAAATGTCATAGAATCATAGAATCATAGAATCGTTAGGGTTGGAAAGGACCTTAAGATCATCCAGTTCCAACCCCCCTGCCATGGGCAGGGACACCTTACACTAAATCATATCACCCAAGGCCTTGTCCAACCTGGCCTTGAACACTGCCAGGGATGGAGCATTCACAACCTCCCTGGGCAACTTATTCCAGTGCCTCACCACCCTAACAGGAAAGAATTTCCTTTTTATATCCAACCTAAACTTCCCCTGTTTAAATTTTAACCCATTACCCTTTGTGCTGTCACTACAGCCTAATGAAGAGTCCCTCTCCAGCATCCCTATAGGCCCCCTTCAGATACTGGAAGGCTGCTATGAGGTCTCCACACAGCCTTCTCTTCTCCAGGCTGACCAGCCCCAGCTTCCTCAGCCTGTCTTCATACAGGAGGTGCTCCAGTCCCCTGATCATCCTTGTGGCCCTTCTCTGGACTTGTTCCAACAGTTCCATGTCCTTTTTATGTGGAGGACACCAGAACTGCACACAATGCTCCAAGTGAGGTCTCACAAGAGCAGAGCAGAGGGGCAGGATCACCGCCTTCGACCTGCTGGTCACGCTCCTTTTAATGCAGCCCAGGATACGGTTGGCTTTCTGGGCTGCAAGCGCACACTGAAGCCAGCTCATGTTCATTTTCTCATTGACCAACACCCCAAGTCCTTCTCCGCAGGGCTGCTCTGAATCTCTTCTCTGCCCAACCTGTAGCTGTGCCTGGGATTGCTCTGACCCAGGTGTAGGACCTTGCACTTGGCATGGTTAAACTTCATGAGGTTGGCATCAGCCCACCTCACAAGTGTGTCAAGGTCCCTCTGGATGGCATTCCTTCCCTCCAGCCTATCAACCGAACCACACAGCTTGGTGTCATCGGCAAACTTGCTGAGGGCACACTCAATCCCACTGTCCATGTCAGCGACAAAGATGTTAAACAAGACCGGTCACAACACCAATCCCTGAGGGACACCACTCGTTACTGGTCTCCAGCTGGACATTGAGCCATTGACCACAACTCTTGCGTACTGCCATCCAGCCAGTTCTTTATCCACCGAGTGTTCCATCCGTCAAATTGATGTCTCTCCAATTTAGAGACAAGGATGTCGTGTGGGACAGTGTCAAACGCTTTACACAAGTCCAGGTAGATGATGTCAACTGCTCCAACCCTGTCCATCAGTTCTGTAGCCCCATCACAGAAGGCCACCAAATTGGTCAGGCAGGATTTCCCCTTAGTGAAGCCATGCTGGCTGTCACCAAGCACCTTGTTGATTTTCATGTGCCTTAGCATGCCATCCAGGAGAATCTGCTCCAAGATTTTGCCAGGCACAGAGGTGAGACTGACTGGTCTGTAATTCCCTGGGTCATCCATTTTCCCCTTCTTGAAAATGGGGGTTATATTTCTCTTTTTCCAGTCATCGGGAACTTCACCTGACTGCCATGATTTCTCAAATATGATGGCCAGCGGCTTCGCAACTTCATTCGCCAGCTCCTTCAGGACCCACAGATGCTTTTCATCAGGTCCCACGGACTTGTGCACGTTCAGATTTTTAAGATGGTCTCGAACCAGTTCCTCTCCTACAGTGGGCCCAAGGTCTTCATTCTCACAGTCCCTGCATCTGCCTTCCAAGACTTGGGTGGTTTGGTCAGAGCCTTTGCCAGTGAAGACCGAAGCAAAGAAGTCATTCAGAACCTCAGCCTTCTCCAAATCCTGTGTAGCCAGTTCTCCTGAGAGCTTCCAGAGGGGGCCTACATTCTCCCTTGTCTGTTTTTTATTTGCTATGTACCTGTAGAATCCCTTCATGTTATCTTTAATACCTCTAGCTAAGTTTAATTCTAACTGGGCCTTAGCTTTCCTAACCTGGTCCCTAGCTTCCTGGACAACATCCCTGTACTCTTCCCATGCCACCTGTCCTTGCTTCCACCTTTTATAAGCCTCTTTTTTCATTTGAATTTTTTCAGCAGCTCCTTATCCATCCAAGGAGGTCTCCTGGCCCTCCTGCTGCACTCTCTTCTAGTTGGGATGCAACACTCCTGAGCTTGCAGCAGGTGATCCTTGAATATCAACCAACGGTCTTGGGCCCCCCTGTCCTCTAGGGCTGTATCCCATGGAACCTTACTAAGCAGTTTCCTGAAGAGGCCAAAGTCTGCTCTTTTGAAGCCCAGGGCAGTGAGCTTGCTGCACGCTCTTCTCACTGTCCTGAGGATCTCAAATTCGAGCATCTCATGATCACTGCATCCAAGGCTGCCCTGGAGAGTCACATTTCCAACGAGCCCTTCCCTGTTGGTGAGCACGAGGTCAAGCATGGCACCTCTCCTTGTCAGCTCCTCTATTCCTTGCAGATGGGCCACCAAGACGCTCAGGTCTTCGCACAGGCAGGAAAAATTGTGACTAGAAGTGGACTAACTTTAGGTATCTTTTTACATGAAAGATTTCAGCTGTTTCATCCTAGTCTTGAAGTAGCTGAACTTTTATAGCTTACTGCCTCGAGGCAAGGTTGCAGTGAGGAGAGGTTGGAGTCCCATCAACTTTGACATAGGAACTTGTTACATTCACAGTCCAGAAATTTAATAAACCAAGAATTTTATAAAGAAGACTGCTGGAAACAACTAAACAATATATCAGGGGAACTCTGGTCTAGGCTTAACAGCAGCAGTCAAAAATGGAACTCTGCAACAATTATGTAACAATCAGAAAACAAAACAGATCTTCCTGCCAGTCATTTCTTTAAAAATCAGACTTTGATACAACTGATGCAATGAGGACTCTAAAAGATAAGAACTTCAACCCTGTACACTGAGTTCACAGACTGTCCCATCTCTGGATGACATTTCCAAAGCAGAAAAAAGTCTTAGGACATGGGGATGAGTGCCCCAAGGATCATGCATTCTTCTCCAAATTCTATAATGCAAAACTAAGTGCTCAAATCTGATGATAACTCTTACTTTGATAACTCTTACTTTTCATTTTCAACTGGGGGGGGGGGGGGGTAGGGGAACAATTTTTAAATTAAAACGCCCTTCACTCAGCTGAATAGGTAAGTACTTGCCCGCTGATAAACCCTAGCAGACAGCTTATTCTTAGGAGACAAACTTGAAAAAATGAACCAAAACCAGTACGGTTATGTTAATGCAAATACTAAGTTCAATCATAATTAACTCTTCAATTTACTCTTAACATTTGCCTTTCTCTGAGCTACTGTAAATATTTATGCGTATCTCCATACCCAGACAACCAGTTGGTATAGTTTGGCATAACACTGTGGCAATCCTCGGGGGTCAGTATTAGTTCCTGCACTATTTAATATCTTTGTGGTGACACAGATAGTAGGACTGAGTGCACTCACAGCAAGTTTGCTGATGAAACCAAGCTGTGTTGAAACAGTGATGTGCTGGAGGGGTGCCAGCCAGAGAGACCTTGAGAAGCTTGAGAGGTGGGCCAATGCAACCCCATGAAGCTCGAAAAAGCTGAGTACAAGGTCCTGCACTTGGATCAGGCAATCCTAAGAGCCTTCCCACCTACTCACAGCTTCTGTTTCCTGTGCTCAGGCCACTGAACACTGGCACAGCTATGACCTTGTCAGCTTTCTTTGGCGCTGGATTTGCCAGCCACTAACGAAACCAGAGAAAAAAAATGAACATGTTTCGTTTACATCTCATCTGTTTTCAAGCTTGTTTTAACATGTTTTAATAGCTGTGCTTCTTGTTTGCAATAGTTTTTCCACATAAATCAGTAGGGATTTTAAGCTGTTTGGGTTCATGCTTCCTCCAGGCCTGAAGCTGACCAGCAACAGTTTCAGGCTGTTAAGTGTTTGCTTGTGTAGCAGTAATTACAGCACTTCTCACTATATCCAATAAAGCTCTTCAACCCTAATGCACTCTCAGTATTCAGGAGCACTTTATTAACATCACTGCTGTACGCTTGATGTCACCAAACCACCACTCCAACACAAAAACAATAGTTCCACATTTCTTTAATTGTCCCAGGGCCCTAAAAGCCTCTTTGCTCTTCTCAAATTTATAATTCTTCTGTTTGCTTTTATTTTTTGCGTCTCCGATGTATCCCACTTACTTTTAGGAAAGCTTTTATTTATTAAAAATAGTAAAGAAAGAACAGTTTTATTGCTAGTGGTTCCACTTTCCTGAAAAAGAATTCTCTTTCCCCACACTGTATTGGCAAGAGACCAGGCATGTCCAGCACCACCAAGAACAGTGTAGGTCAACTTCAAAGCAGGATCCTATTGACATACTAATTCCCTATCACCTCAGAGATTTCATGTGCCAATTTCTTCAATAATTAGGCTCTGCTACCAGAGAGGTGAAATTATTATTTTAATATTAGCCTTCCTTTTATCTTTGAAAAAAAGCATTTGTTTTGGCACTGTCAAGACAAACCTTAATAAACTGACTGGCAAACAGTATGTTTAGCAATGAAAATGAAACCCGGGGAGGGATTATGGTGTAAGTAATAAGAGGGAATAGAGAGATTTAGGAGAGGATGCGATTTATAATGACTTTAAGAAAGATAAGCTTCTACATCTGTGATTGCTTGATTCTATCATATTTTAATTGATTATCAGAGCTAACAGGTTTATTTTTTCATGTGAATAAAAGCTGGTTTACTTTAGCCTTCATTTGTATTTATTTTACATCCTATATTAGGATGGATATTTTTCCATAGATTTTGGCTCCCTCATGTTGTACTCATTCCATAGGCTTAGAAACCCAAATTAGCTTGTGCTGGGGGAGGGCACAGGGAAAGCCTGTGGTTACACCTGTTACTCTGCACAGTAGTGGAGGAGGTTTGGGGGATTTTGGAACAAAACCAGTATCACTCTACACTGACTCACCCTCCTTTTCTTTACCCTCTGCTGACAGGTCCCCCAACAATTACTACTCCCCTTTTCAAGCCGGTTTTCAGCCATGTTGACAAATTAACTGAATACACCAACACAAAACCACCCTGCAACTCAGGGAGGCACCTAAA